AATTTTTTTTTTTTTTTTTTTGCGGGTCCCCTCAAAACTTTAAATAACAAAATTAATTAACAGTTAATTTACATATCGAAATATAGATTTTAAATATTTATTTAAAACAAAATTTAAAATCTAATTATAAAAATCAAAAGTCATGAATTATAAGGTAGACAAATTTCTACATTAAAAAACCTGTACCAAATATAAATACAGCTACATTTTATTGAATATAAACATACATAGATATGTTTTAGTATTTCTACATTTTTAAATGAATATAACTACATAAATGTTTGCCACGAAAAATCTTCTAATGTGTTGATGAATGAATATAACTGAATTTTATTGAATATAAACCCATAAAGAGATGTTTTATATGTTCCGAAGTTTTTGTTCTGTGAAATCTTCTAATATAATAATGATGTCCTGCGGAGCCCCTTCAAGCGCGGGGCCTGATTGGCGCAAATCGCTTCAATCGCCTCAAATTCGGCTCTGGATACAACATACTGTTAACGAATACTACGAAGTTGACTTAAAAAATAAAATAAACAGTGATGACGATGCTGCTTAATTAATTGCGATGTGGCTTTGTGACAATAAATTGCTCATACAACTTCTATTATACGGGAATCCTATGTAAGAATATAAAGGAGATATAAAATATATAATTTGTTTGCAGATAGTTAGGAAATAAAGATCATTAATGGAAGCAGATCCCTGTTGAGTTTAATTTAGTTAACGCAAGCCTTTCAGGATCATAGGTTTCTATCTTCATACAGAAGCTGACTCAAACTCATCGTCTCTGATGCAGAATGGTTCTGTCTACCAAAGTCGCTATTATCTTGAGAGAACTTCATGGTGGTAGAATTTCTTTCAAGCACGCTTTATTATATCACACCTCCTTCTTCGCACCACAATCACTCAGGGTAGAGGTCCAGCAGCTCTCATCATATATATCATGAAGGAAGTCATAATTCAAAGGGAGAAAGAATACGAGTAACTTGTTAGTTAAGAAGTTGTTTTTTGCACCTTAGTGCGTAGAAAGTGAGCGAAGGAGAAATTTCACTAAACATATCTTTATATTAATTTGTCTAAACACTGTTATACAAGTATTACATTAAGTATTATATACTCCAAAAGTTATACAAAGTGTAAAAGTGAGGAATCGTAAATTGGAGTTTAGAGTAATTTGCTATATTAACAGGATAATACAATAATATTTTATAAATTTGTACACTTAATCACGAGGCTATACTATACAAATTATACAAGAACATGTTTAATAATTTATATATTTACAAGTATAGATAGTTTTTAAATTTTGATATGTCTGCTAGTCAGTGGATTAAACAAACTTTTTTCTTTCAACTTTACCGCCCCAGGAATACAAAAATACCTTTTTTTCAATGCCCATTTTCAATTATCTCTATAAACAATTCAGCCAGGAAAACAATTGAGTGTTAAAAACCGTCAAGATCTCCATTCTTTTTTATTGATATAGTTTACAATTCGGTAAATTTAAATAATATTTTATTAAGAAACGAGTTTGTAATTAACATATTTAACAATCCTCAGTATACATAGAGATATTTAATTTTTCAATATAAAATTTAATTACTTATACATTATTTTAAACTTACGGTTTTAATTTAAGCAAATTATTATACAATCGATATTATTGGGCGTAGTGAAAGATTGTGTTATAATAAAAAAACAGAAAACACAATTGGAAAGCATTCAGTTAGATGTAAAATAAATTATTATTCGAGTTTTAAAGTATAAATAGAAAATAAATATCTTTACCTGTAAGGCTGATTGTTTAAAAACAACTGAACAAAACGAATAGAATATCCTCGTTATATACTTTTGAAAAACTTTCCTGGTAATCTCATAATTAAGTATTCATTACAATACTGTAGCTATATATATGCATAAATAGAAATTTAGCTGGATTATGATAAATTTCTGAATATATCAAACAAGAATTGTTTAAAACATCATTTGCGCAGTCATCAATTATGACTCTTAAAAAAGTTATTAATTATTATAAAAAAGATAAAGTACTCTATTTTGGAAGTAAAAATGAGTTTTTAAAATAATTGTAAATGGTAATAACGCGTAAAATTCTTATTAAGTGTTCCCCACTCGAGATATAGACATTAAAATTCTCCTTGACTTAATTTAATGTCGATAATTTAACAGTAACAATACTCTGAATATTATACAAGAAAACACATCGGCCGTACACGAGGTGTTTAGCCGGCAGAAAAGATAGTAAGGGAAAGGGGAGAGAAAAAAGGAGGGAGGGAAGATAGACAGTAGAGAAAAGTAAGATCCTTCTGAACGGCGTACGTGACTACAGTACTCTCTATGTTTGATGTTGGCGTGCAGTTTTTAGGCTGCAAAGTCGTAATCCCGGAAGGGTATAAAAAAAACCTGGGTGTAGCAAACACCAATAATTGAATGCTGCCACGATTAGTGTCGAAGTTAGTGCAAAGTGCCTGTTAGTAGAAAGACTTGTATCTACTTAATGCTAATAAAATTAAACTCGAGCGCGTATCTTAATACTACTTAACAGCTAGACAGACAGCGCGAAAAACAAATGAACAGAACGCCAACTAGACGAGAAGAACGGACCGACAGAGACAAACGAGCAAGATCCCAAAATTTTTATTTATTTATTTATTTTTTTTAAATACATTAACGTTCTCATTAAACTATCCCATTGTTATTGCAGTCAAAAACTGAGTGATGTTTTGTCGGTCCTCCTGAATTCCACAATCGTATTGTAGAATGCCCCCAAGGTTATTGCTGAAAGTTGCCGTGTTTTGTAAGTAACTGAATAAGGATGTTACCAGAGTATAAGTGGCGAAGAGTAGCAGTAGTGTCAACCTTGCGGATGAAAGTGTAGATGAGCCTACCAGTAGTGTCATAGTCCCAGCTGTCGTGCCAAAGAATGAAGATTTGTTTCTTGACTTGATTGTTGATGTACAATTTAGGAATGTAACTAAAAGTACTAGTAACTGAAGACTCTTGTAGATTGTTTGGCAAGACGGTCAGCGGTGTCGTTGCCGAGAATATCCGCATGACCCGGGATCCATTAGAAATCTATTCTAATGTTGTTGTCTAAGTGTCTGAGAATGTGGTATATGAGATGTATGAGTTTCAGGCGGCTATCAGACGTCGCCATCCTGTGTAAAGCTACCCTACTGTCAGAATAAATGCGATTGTGTAAGTAGTGTCTTTTGTCTTTCCTACGCCTAATGTGAATTAAGCTCATATAAAAGGCTAAAGTTTCCATCTGTAATGTTAAGCAGTGTGTACTGTACCTAGACGGAAGCAAGCGTTGTGTAGCTCGCGGCCTAAGTCGGAGTGAACTTTAAAAGCGTCATCCATCTTGGAACGTCAGTGTAAATCCTAAACATAGGACGATCACCTGGATCTTCGAAGTAAACGTCAAGGGCAAGCTAGTGGAAGAGGTGGTAATCGTTTGTCAAGAGGGTATTTTTGTCGATACTGAATTTTTTTATATCATCGATCAAGTTCACACTGGGGGAATCTTACCTACTCTAATCATTTTGTCGACGTACGAGTCGCTATAATCTCGCTAGGGTAAGGTGACGAGATTTTTCTGCCAAATAATACTTTTAATTTCTAAGTCGATAGGTGTCAATCTTGACATGACTAAAATAACACGAGTGGGTGCGGAATTAAGAAAAGAAAAAAAAACATTATATACAACTTACGAAAAGTAAGCGCAAAAGTCCAAGCGAATGTAATTTTAACAATACCTTGTGTGTAAAAATTTATGTTTATTTAATTTCTCTTTATAACAATAACTAGAATATAAATCTATGAATCCAAAACCGAAGATACAATACAACTTACATCATAAAACAAATAATCTTTACTGTTACTATGTTACTTTATTATACTTTAATTCAAAAAAAAATCAAAATATAACGATACAAAATACATAACATACAAAATAATAGTGCATTATTATAAGAAAATTTCTCACATTTAAAGTATCCATTAGTGATACTTTTGATGAAGTATATTAAAACGATCTGTTTTCTTGAAATATGTCTCTCGAAAGAAGCGACAAAAGTACCAAGCTAGTGAAATATATATAAAATTTAACAACAACAGATTCTCGCCGGTCTGTTCGCAATTTTTCCCACTATAATACATGTATGTGGCTAATAAATTAACAAAACAGCCCATAAACATCTGTGCAATTTGAATTACAGTAATTGTCATCGCGATAAAAACAGGAACATTTATCTTCATCGCCATCAGAGCATAATAACAATACATGAAGCTGTGTGTAAACATGTTCATCGTAATACCCCAATACATAGTAGATGCTTCATTAAAATTAACATACCATACAATAACAAGAGGCAAAGCGTGATGATAACAATGCAAAAATGTCAGCTTTTCTTTATGAAGAACAATAAATATTGTATCTCCGAGTTCAATAAGTTTCGACCATGTAAATACAGAAAACCAGAATGAAAGTGGGTGATATTTGAGTGCAAAGCTGAGATTGCACACGGAGAACATAAATCCGAAGTCTCGAATTGATATCCACAATCCTGGAAGCAATCTTAAAGTGCCACAAATTCCGAATGCCGCCAAAAGAATATTCCATATGATATGTGGCCAACGAAGGTGAAACGGAGGTCTGGATTTCATATAATTTTGCAAAATATATATGATTATTACGTAGGCAACTGACATAGGAACGGCGTAGGGTAAAAAACTCTGAGTCCACTTATTGTCTACGTATTGATATAAATATTCTTCTATATAAAGCGATTTGTATTCTCCTCTTCGTGTGGAATATTCGACTTTCTCCATAATATACTGAAAATGAAAGAATGTACAGTACATAATTACTTATGCTTTAGTTGAAACGGTGCTTGTAAACTATTTGAAATTAATAAATAAGTTAATAAATAAGGCATGATATATTTAAGAATTTTCTAATTTATAAATTAAAATTGAAATAAGAACTAAATAATGCTACCTGTAAGATTGATCGTTTAAGGACAACTGCAGAATAAAAATAGGAATATCCTGATTACATATTTGTATTTAATTTTCCTGCTAATTAAGAGATAAGAAGAATGAAAATAAAAACAGGTTTACTACTTAATTATTAATAATTCTAATGAATTTCATAACTAATATTTTATTTCGGAATAACAATCAATAAAATGTTTTCCTTATAATTTTAACCTAAATTAAATATAAATAATATTTATATTTTATATAAGAATTTAGTTTGGGATTAAAAAATTATAATATCTGGAACGTTTAATGGAAATGCACTATTTAGGCATACATTACAATTGTGCGTACAAAGTTAACTATGGCTAAGATTTAAGACATAAAAGTGATATTAAATTATTGAAAAATTATATATTTATGCAGGTATTAGATGAAAATTCTTGCACATGTTTAGCTGGTTGGAAGCTACACACGTATAACGCCTCCAACGATGCTATCCCGGAACGGTTCCGGGCTTTTAGTCGTCTGCCTGCTATATAGATATTTGGTTGCCCTCGCCCCATTATTTAAATCGCGAGTAGATTTATAACTTAACTCAACCGATAGGAATTTACTGGTACATTTTTATGATAGTTCTGTATAGTTGACAGGAGTTTAAAAAATCCATTAAAATATTTGATATATTTATTCCGCTTTCCAATTTTATATTACCTGCGGATTTCAATGTTTAACCAGTGCTATTACGATTTTGTATGTCCCATCTTTAAGGTAATGTAGAAAAACGGTGTACAATTCTTGTACAATGTTAAAAAAATTAATTGTTACTTTAGCTAAAGCAATTGCATGAAGAATTTACAAGAAATAGTGAAGAGTTAAGTTTAAAACTGTAATGTATTAAAAATGTGCCAATGAAAATTATTGACTTTGATATGCGATAGTTAAATTACTATAGAGATCTGCTACCTTTTTAAACGTTTTTCAACTATTAAATATTAACAAAACGTTTTAAGAAATAGTAGATCTTACAATAAAATCAGGAAGAAAAAGCTCCGTGCGAATCGAGTGTTTAAATTTTTCTCGAAACGAAGACAGATTTGGAAAGTGTCAATAAAATATGAAATAATTACGTGAAATATTTCCAAAATTAAAATTCATTGAAGAAAATTTAACAGATATGTAGTGTAAATACTGGTGTAAAAGTAAAAAAAAAAAGACGAAATAAAAATGTTTTGAATGTAGAAAGTTAGATTAAAAGTAGTATTTACAATATAATGCAATGGCTTTTTCTTATGCGAAAAAAATTTATATTACTTTAAGGAACAATAAATTTAACACTACGTTGCATTGAAAATTTATGTTTATTTAATTTTTATTTATAACTTTAAGTATAACGAGAATGAACGAATCTAAAATAATACATACAATAAGACATATACAACAAAAAATCCTTACTGTATTACCTTATTATTCCTTAATTCATAATTAATAGAAATTTAGTGATAAAACATTATTTATAAAAATATATTTAATATGCGAATAAAATAATAAGCAATTTTCATAAAAAAAAACGCTTCTCACTAAACCGTTCTTTTACAGATGTTTTCGATGAAGTAAGTTAGAACGGTTTGTTTTCTTGAAATATGAGTCTCGAAAAAAGCGACAAAATAACCATACGTAAGACATGTACACACAGTTTGACATCAACAGAGTCATGTCGGTCTGTTCGCAGTATTTTCCACTATAATATGAATAAGTGGCCACGAAAGAAACAAAACAGCCCATAAACATCTGTGCAATTTGCATTATAGTAATTGTCATGGCAATATACACAGGTACATTAATCTTCATCGCCTTCAAAGCGTAATAAGTATACATGAAACTGTGCACAAAAACGTTCATCACAGTAAACCAGTATACAGTAGACGATTCATAGTAATTAACATACCATGCGAAAATTAGAGTTAAAGCGTGATGATACCAATGCAAAAATATCAGCTTTTGTTTACGAAGGACAATAAACATGGTATCTCCGAATTCAATGAGTTTTGACCATGTAAACAAAGACATCCAGAATGCAAGCGGGTGATGTTTCAATGCAAAGCTGATGTTGCACACGGAGAACATAAATCCGAACTCACTGATTAAAATCCACAGTCCTGGAAGCAATCTCACAGTGCCACAAATACTGAGTGTCGCCAGCATGATATTCCAGATGACAAGAGGCCAACGAAGCTGAAACGGATGCCTGGACTTCATATAATTTTGCAAAGAAAAGATAATTATTACGTATACCAGTGACATAGGAACGACGTAGGGTAAAACCCTCTGAGTCCATTTATTGTTAATGTATTGATGTAAATATTCTTCTATATAAAGTGATTTAAATTCTCCTCTTCTTGTGAAATTCTCGGCAATTTCCATTATATTCTGAAATAAAAGAAAATATGCGTGATTATTTATTTAGTTTATCAAATATTTATATATAAAATATAATGTTATTCTAAATAATATTAATTGTACAATTATATATATTTATATATGGAAATATAAAATGTTAGATAAATGTATATCGGTTTAAAGGGGAAGAAAACGCAACACATTGGATATCCGCCAAAAGGAAGCCCTTCCTTGAAGAGTTTCTATGGGAAACTAATACAGAGCTGCAATTTTTAGTCATAGTTTTAATAATTTCTTAATTTAAAATATATACTCTTCACTTCAAATTAGTATTGGCTTACTCTTGTACATCGTGTTTTTCTTTTAAGAATAGAGTGGTGACGGTCTTTTATCAAACACTTTTGAAGGGAAAAGTTTACATGTTAAACTCCTTAAATAGAAATAATGTAAAAGAAATGGTTTTGATAAAATTCAGATGAAAATACGCTTAAACGTTGTATTGTGAAAGAACAACACTTCAATAAAGAGTTTTGCTTGAGTAAACAAAATTTCAATGACATGTAATTATTTATGGTTTTCTTTACAATTAATACAGTAGATGAAGGTAAGAAACATTACATATAACGTTCACTGCGAAAAAAGGAGCACATTTGTGTGAATAAATAAAACTAAACTATCAATAGTTTATTTTTTCTCTATTTATTCTGTACTTACAAGCTGTATGACAAAGTCTTTAACTCCTGAAGAACGTTTATATCATTTACCCAAGGAAATAAAAAGCTAATGATTGTGATTGTATGGCAATTACTATTAATTGTTGTATATATATATATATTAAAGTATTTAAGAAAGTATTGATGAACATTTTCTTATATTTAATCAGAGAAACCCTAAGAATTTTTATAATAATTTATAGTTATTAAACGTACACCAGAATTAAAAAATTATAGAATTATAGTAATTATTGAAAAGTAAATAGAAAATGTAATAATTTGATCAGATTATAAATAAAAGTAATGAGATAAATAGTTTATAATATAATTGAAAATATTACAGACGTTATTATACAGCCAGCAAAGATTAAATAAGCATAGCTTTATTAGAGTGCTCTGCATTATAGTGTAAATAAATAAATAAACTTTGTTAATAATAATCGGTATTGCCTGGTAATGAGGAAGTGTTTACACAGTAGTTACTAGGGGATACTGCATTTAAGGCGGATAAATCCAAAAATAAGCAATTAATTTTGTTTTGAGAAAAACAAGGAAAGTTTTATAGTTTATTTTAAATATTTATTACTTATCCCTTAATTTAAGTTATGCTAATTTATAAACAAACTGATAGTTGATAATATTTATAGGAAAATACTTACATTGTTTACATGTTTTCCAATATTTAATATACGTTTACGCAATATATCTTGTTTAAGCACTGTGTATGTAAGTTCCTCAACCGGCCTACATTGTGTACACCTCCTCTACTTTTCATTGTATCGCTTTTCAATTTGTTTTATTGCTTCAGATTATATTTGTTTATATATACTTACTGTATTATCGTAATGTATCTGTATAATTGCGTCTATGTAATGTAATCATTCACCATATATTGTATTGCTAAATACTTATTTCATTGCTTTACCTAGTTTGATTTATTTGTACTCATAGTAAAGTTATATTGTATTAATCTGTTTTAATTGTCTCTTCCTTTAATTTCATGTTGTAACTGCTTTCTTTGTAAACACTTACCATATTATTTGTCGCGTATGTATCAGCTGTTTTTAATTAACCCTTTGGCCCTTGCCACCATTTATCTTTCCCTTTATCACTTTCTTTCATACCCCCTTAAAGGCTATACCTATAAGTTCGGTTTTCCACACTTACCCAACTAGTACCTAAACAGAGGTATGTTTTTGGTAGTTATTTCTAGTCGGGAGTTTGGTCTCATTAACGGCTTGCCAAGTAAAGATTTTCGATTTTCGTGTCTCACATGTAAACTGAAGGCAGTTTTTTTCATAGAAATGTTATCTCTGACGTTATACCTCTTTGGCAGATCGCTCGTATTACTTTGCAATAAGGGTGACTGCCATAGAAGTATGACAGTTTTCACTAGGACATGAAGATATTGAAAAAGTTCCGAATATAAATATTAATAAGCTATACATTATTTAAAAGCAATAGTTTAATCTATGAAGATTATTATATAATCAATATTATTGGGAACCGTAAAGGATTAATGGGTTCTTAAGAGATAAAACAATTGATAAGATTTAGTTAGGAGAAGAATAAATTATTATTTGAGTACTAAAATATAGAAAATATTTAATGAATAAATACTGTTACCTGTAATGTTGATTGTTAAATGGCTACTGCAAAATAAGACAAGGAAATTCTCATTTAAATATATTACTTTAAGTTTACTGTTTATTGCAAAATAAAGGAAATAATATATTAAACAGGTTTTCTATTTAACTGTAAATAAATGTGTTTAATTTTATAATTTATATGTTATTTTGGAATTATAATCAGTGAAAGCTGTTCCTTTCAGTCTTTTTTTCTACTGTTTGCTTTGTATTATTCTGTAAAAGTTTCTCACGAATTCGTTTATAGATCAATCTGCAGTATCTTTAACTTAAATAGATCATTGTGTTACTTCTTTACATAACAAAATTTCTTAAAACAATAGCAGAGAAAACCAATGAAAGTGTTATTGTAATTAAAAAGTAGTGTTTTAAAACACGTATTTTTAATTATAAGGTTTTTAGAATTTATCCATGTAACGCTTTTATACCATATGATTTTTATTAATACTGGTAAATCATTAATAACTATGAAGCTGTGGTATTGTTTATTGTGAATTTGTACATAGAACTACAATATTCAATACTGAAAAGAAACAAAATTAAAGTACATTTTATAAAAAGCACATACGAAACATTGGTACTTTATGTCGATTAATTCATAATAAACGATATTGTATCGTGGATTTTTCTGGATGTTTTTAGGTGTGTAATACCAAAAATAGGGACCAGTTATATTGTTTGAAAAAAGAAAAAGTAAATGTTTAAATACACTCACTGTCTCGAATCGTATTCTGTATTACAATAGGTTCAATGTTATAAATTGTGATTCTACTTACATAATACCACATGAAAATGGACAACAAAATGTATAGCAATTTAACATGGCATTTTACAAATTTATACCGGTACAACATATAAAGTGGTAAATCATAAATAAATCTACCGTAATTTTACAGTACATTAAAACAATACAAGTTTATATAATTGTATAAGAAGGCCACAGAAGGCCGCACATCACGCTTTTCAAGCGTGATGTGNGCTTTTCAAGCGTGATGTGCGGCCTTCTGTGGCCTTCTTAAACAAGTTTTCATATTGTTATAAATTAACATATGTGAACTAATTTTGGTAATATTAAAGTATTAAAGTATAAATAAGAAGAAAATAAATTACCTGTAAAATTTATTGTTTAAGAATAAATGCAAATTACAAAGGAATATCGTCATTATATATTTTATTTAATTTTCCCTGTAATTAAGAGAATAAATAGAAACAGATTTACAATTCAATTATTACTAATTGATATTTTATTTCGGAATTAAAAGTTTTCCTTATAATTTTAATGCAAAAAGGTTTAAATATTAATTATATTTCATATAAAAATAAAAAGCAATAGATAAAGTACAGTTTGGAATCGAATTTAGTTTATATTATCAACAAAATATAACAGGAAAACTTCATAAATATGCAAAATATATTTGAAATAAGTAGAAATAAAATCATGGCAGTTATTTTTATCTTTATGAACGAATGAGTTCTTCTGTTAATTGATACAATTGGTGTCGTAAACGTTGAAGACGTTGTTCTACTTTCTGCATCTGAAGGAAATAAAAAATAGATTAATATATTTTTATCAACATTTTCGGTTGAAAATGTTAATAAAACATCATCTTTTACCTTCTGTTGTAATTCTTCGATTAATTTTGTTTCTCCTTCAGATAATTTGGAATGATTTTCCTGCTTTGGAGGTGACCCTAAAAGAATGCGATGAAGATGAAATCCACAAATAGATGATATCAATACTAGGACAAAGTTTGTGATAAAGGAAGACTGACAGCAATCACACCGCTTTTCCCCCTTAACATCCTGTACAGAGAAACACATTCTATATAGACGTCAATAATTTTTATTGAGTACCAATAGGGCCTTTCCTTACCTTCACCGCCAAAGGAGAGCCTTTGCTAATGTTTGAATCTCTGGTATAATTTACAGTAGAAAACATACGGATAACTCCTAGATCAAAAGTAGAATGACCATACTGTTTGATTAGGAAAGTCACCCCAATCATAGCTATAAGAATGATCATACTTTTTATGATCAACATTTTGCATGCCGAAACTGACGAATGATAATAATGTAAGAAATACTTATTATTAATACAATAAGTGTAAAAATATCGAAAAAAAAAAAACAATTGTGACGTTCTAATAAACAAAAGACGAATAAATAACCAATATATTTGATTTTATTTTAATATTACAAAGTATAATAATAAAAACATTAAAGGTAATGCAAAGAAACTTTGGGCAATTTCTACTTTTCCTTCCAGCTATTTATACTTACCCAGTGCTATTTAAAACTATAAAAATTTATGGAAGATATGGTCATTTCTAATCGACATTAGGGCCTATCGACAACTTTTATTGACCGTACCGGGCAATTAAGGATGTTAATTTTGTAGCCATAAAATATAAAAAGTTGCCGTGTAGTAAAGCTTTTATACTTCGCAATATCAGTAGCTTTGATTTGTTATTATTACTTAATACAGGCGTAACAGTAGCAATTCCCTGTACTAGACAATTTTCTGAGTTTGCAACTTGACATTTTTGTATTGATTACCGCTATGTCAGTGATCATCATTCTCCTTTCTTCATAAGATCTATATCCAGTATTACTTCTCCATTCATGTCTAGAACATAAAGGGTCTGTCCATTTCCTCGGAAACCACCAGGGCACATGATGGAACACAAAGAAACAGGTAAAAAGTCCGTTTCCTGATCGCTATATCACATCATCAGGATTATATATTAATAATTTTGTTTATTTATGAATTTTTCGTTTTTCGTCCTTTTTGTAAATGTTTAAAACACGTATTTTAAATCTGTATAAAGTGTGCTTAGTGAACCTGAGCAAAGTAATATCATCAAGGATATAAATAATCATTCGTTACGGACCAATAGACGTTACTCCTTTCGCAATTGCATATAAGTAGACTACCAAAAGAAGTCGTAAACTTTCACTGTCATAAACTGCATTCATCATAGACAGTGAATCGTTACTGTCTAGAGAGTTTTGTATGGGCAAAGGGCGACTTTGCGGTGTAATATCAACAAAACGGCTTAAATGCGCCAGAAACGAGATATATATTCGTAATCAGTTCAGAAAACTGTACAAGATATAATTTTCTGTTTTCTGACTGAAGTACTGTACCTAATCTAAAGTACAACGTAAATGTTCACAAAGTACAAGGCACTCTTGTTCGCCCTGACACGACTACATCGTTGGTTTAAAATAACAATATACGCTCATACATATGCACGCGTAATATACAAATAACAATATATGATCATACAAATGCACGAAATATGCATTATGCTGTTAAAAAAGCTAGTAAAACACATTAAATTCGATAAGTTGACATGCGAACCTAGTTCTGTCTGCGTGGAAATTTTACTACTTTCTAACAATAGATATACACTGTAGATATACACTGGATAAACACATTAAGAGAAAGATTAAACAGGCAACAAGTGGGAAGGTTAAACATCAAACAATAGGTGCCACAGAGATTTCCCATAGAGACTGACCCACTAACAAGTATAAAATTTTATCGCACGTTGATCTAACAGAGTGAAAAAAGGGCAGGGAATGACAAAACCGATGTTTTTTCTGTATATAATTTGCATAAATTTCAGAGAGGGGAAAAAGCATAGTCTCACTCAAATATCGAAACTACTTTTATAACAAATAACGGTAATTAAAAGAAAGTTTAGTGTGTAAGAGATTAAGGTACAAATATGGTTTGCTTTATCTAACTTCACATCATACATTTTCCACACAATAAATTTTCATTCGACCTTACTAATGCCGTTGAAAATGAATGAATTGCTGTTTTATAGAGTAAAGGGGATAAAAAATTCGAGGAAATTTTTGCCTTTTATCACCATTATATCAATGATTACTCTATCCACCGAAGCACAACACGTGACTACATTTCCTTTCAGAGCAGTTTACATTGCTAAAAATATAAACATCCACCCTCCAATTTTTGATCAGCTAAAAATATTTTTTATTTTCATAATATTAATATTTCTTCAGATTGTTTTATTTTATCAATATTTGTAAAAATATTATTAAAATAACACCTCGCTCTTTATTGCAAATGAATAATTTCACATGTAATCATCAGGAAAACAATGTTATTGACCCAGAATTTAACTGTTTTTCGAGTATTTTTAGTAAATTTATCCTACTATAATAGTATAAATTTAGGAGCAGTCCCTCAACACACCATTGTGGGCCTGGTCAAACTTACAATAGATAAATAAACACAATTTCCTACTGCACACAGCATGAAAAGAGCATGTATGTCTAGTGTATATATATATATATATATATAGTGTTTATCTTGTAATCAGAAAACCTGTTCCCGCACCAGAGCAAGCGACAAACCGGTAAAAAAATTCTTTATTCGATTGGACGAAATTGTTATAAAAACATGTTTTAGTTACGGATAAAGTTAGAGGAAATACTGTCATCTTGTATAACGAAATCGTCGATGAATCGATACAAAGAAGCTTAAACGTAAGTTATTCTTTAACTGTAATTTTCCAAATTTACTAAAGCACATGTACTTAAATTACCGTTCAAATGTGTATTTTACAAAAAAGTTTTTGTAGTTATTTAAAGTGTAACGTGTACAGATTAATACAGGTGTAATATAAAACACAGGTGAGTCCATGTTGACTCTCTTTCTCTCGCGTTAAGTACGCATGTATAGATGTTAGTATGTATATGTGGGGAGCAGGATTTTGTTCACCCTGTTTAAAGTGTAATAACTCTTGTATTTTTTGTCGAAAATTTCTATAATTTTGACGGAAGGTTCGGGTATTAGAGTGATTGATAATGTTAAATTTTGGTGATTAAAGGTTGAAGGGGTAGGGAGATAGATACGATCGTGCGTTGTATCTCAGGTAAGGTCAAACTTAATAGCAATTTCACTCGTTACTAGCATTTACAAACGACCTTGATAAGTGTTTTTAAAGTTAAACAAGTAGCAAGGTACTTGTTTAATATTTATATATTTTAACTTTAAGGTCTAAAGTCAGTCTGCAAGAACGTCAAAAATAGTTTATTATTAAATCTCGATTTTTCTCTCATTACACTAAAAATATAAACATGTTCAGTGGAATATGTGTATATTTTGTGGGTTTTATATTGATACAAACATTTTTTAAATCAAAATAAAGTAATAAACTCTTACAAGTGTATGCAAGTGATGAGTTATGTTGTGTTTATGCAGACACGAAAAATGCAAGAGGAGACATTTAATCAAGAAAAGGAAAATCAAGCAAAGGAATGACACGTGCCTACAGAAGACCTGTAGGCACGTGTCATTTGGTGTGGTCTGTCTACTTTATATTTACATATCTACTTTATCATTATATATATAAATATATATCAATAATTTACATTTAAATTTAAATTACCTATTGTTTAGAAAGCAGGCGTAATAAGGTAAAAAAAAATTATTTTTAAGTTTGTTCGTAGAATCAGTGGCAGATCAAAGAGAGATATAATGATAAGCCCTTCTCATTGACACAGAAAAATTTAAAATTTGTTTGTAATCAACTTCATTATCGATGGCAAATACGTTTCAAGGACCATCAGCATATGTTAATAAAAAATACTAATAATTATTTATATATTTTTAATTTTGAGTTATCCCCTTCTTTTCGTTCTACTGGATTCGCAGCAGCATGGGTTAATTGTTCTATATACTAAAATAAAATAGAAGAGAAAAACAAGTTTAACAATTTATGATTTACACAAGCTCATCAGTAATCGTGAAGATAACACCACTAAACACTGTTAGTAGGTCGTGGGTTTACGTCTATCCCAACGTAAAGTTTTCCGGATTTTCTTCACGTGGTAACACGTAAATAGGGACCAATTTCCCATAGATAAGTTTATCTTAGAGGCACTCTACTCTCTCTTGACAGATTGTTTTTGTTCGCATTATCTTCGGTAATGAAGGGAATTGGATTCACGGATAAGGATGCGTAAATACAATTCACTCCATTATTGGTGAAGTATATCGGTGCTGCTTCCTTATATTCCATGTTCAGATTTATTAAATTTCTGCATAAATATTGTTGCATGCTAATAGGGAAAACTTCTAATTTCAAATCCTCCTGCTAAAGATTCTTTCATTTTATCAAGTGTGTATATTAACCTACTCGATAGTTGTCATATCAAAAATTAAATTCTAAGCTTCTACACATAAAAAAATTTACTGGTATCTCCAATTGAGTATAGTAATAACATGTCTAATATGCATGCTATAATTATACAGCCGTGTATAGTAAATTATAAAAAATAATACCTATTTAATTTTTTATTTCCTACGCTAATATTGGGTGTTTCTAAGAATTTAATGTTATATCTCATAACTTCCCCTTAAAGAAAAATTTTTATGAAAAATAATTCCTAAAATTTCCTGCAGTTTCACAACCAATATGTTTTAATTTCCTTTGAATTTCCGCTTTAATTCGTTAAATCGAGTTTTTACTGTACGTAACTATATTTAACTGTTTATTTATCTACCTTAATATAACATTAAATACTGTACTATTATTCTTTACAAATTCTTAAATGTATTTTTGATTTAAGCATTGCGGACTTGATATGAGGCATTAGCCTCATATCAAGCTATATTATAAGGTTTGGCAGATTGGATATGAAGTTATGTTATTTCAATTAAAATATTATCTTTATGACAGAGTTAAATAGATAAACAGATGACTCTTGTTATCGTGAACAGTATGATGTACAGCTATAAACCACTACAGTACAAATTTAAGGTGGAGAACATATATTTTAAATTAAATGACTTAAAAATATAATTAAAATTTACAGCCAAGGCATTATGACAATGTTATATTAAAAAATTGCTCGTTTTCAGTTGTCCTTCTGTTTCTCCCACATAATAAAAAGGTGGTTGACAACAGCATGAAAATTTATAGACTAAAACATCATTTAATAAATCAATGTTTTCCCCTTTTATAACGTTAAAATCCAATTATTTAATTAATTACTGTGTTTTCTAGTAAGTGGTAAAATAATATTAAAAAATGAAAAAATTTTCAAATTTTACAATAAT